AGCATTTTAGCATGTTTCAGCTCACTGTTTTCGTTTTCAAGCCCACAGCTTTAGTGTCTGGAGTCCCTCTCACCAAGTCTCATCATCCAGGTTTGCAGGCTGGCTTTCAACCCGCTCTGATAAACCCACTGTACCTGCCCACCACCAAATGACAGACAGACACACTAACTTAGCAGCTAGCTGGTGAAGAAAGAGGAACATTTAGCAGTTAAAGTGCCAGATATTTGCTAGACATCTGCCAAACAGAGCTAAAAGAGTTACATTCATCAGGTGGACACAAACATGACTCCAAATGAATGATCATGCTTTTCTGTAACTGCTGGATGTGTAAATAATAATAATAATAATATTTATTGTTTATCAAAGCCTTTCAATCCAACAAACAATGCTGCAGACTCACAGTTAATTTAAAACCCTCTGTTAATATATATCAATCTATAATTTCAGCATTTTAAAAAGAGTTTTCTTCGCCTTTTTCTATTGATGCAGCATATTTATTTTCCTCACAAGCCCTTCTGTACTAATGCATGTGCCACAAGCATTTAATTCTTAAGAGGAGAGACAAAACTGAAGTACACTTTGAAGGGTTTTTAAATGTTGTTCCTTGCTCTGCTCTGACATTTTCTCTTGAATAGTCATCTGAAATATTAAAGAGTGCCTGTGACTCAGCAGCAACCAACTCATTCCCAGATAAACCTTGATCATCTTTGAAATGGCAGCACTTTCCAAATGCCACACATCCTGGTCCACACACATGCTTTCATACACGTGAACCAACACGAATTGAAAATCCACCATGTTCAAACTTGTGTTACCCAGCTGCAGTTAATCAAGAGATTAATTGTTCTATATATTATATAATATATAATATAATATTTCATCTTTAACTGTTGGTAACAACATGATATGATAAGGGAGTTGATTACAGGAATAAGCACAGGATAAGAAAAAACACATTTAAATGTTCTCTGTACTTATGTCGCTATGTATACACAACTTTTATCTTAAATTCCTCCAAAACGTGCAAAGCCACGACCCCTGTGTTGCATCAGGCTTTTGCAGAACACATTTCCCTTCCAGTGCAAAGCACAAACACACCACAGTTTCCTGTTTGTCGTTTGAAACAAAGCCAACAGGGTCAGCGAGGTCTGACGATGTTGGGAAATTATTAACATTGTTTACACTGTAACAGACAGACAGACCTGCAGCCTGTGGCTCCTGTCACAACATGCAGAGCTGCCAGTCGTAGCTTGTCTGGGCTGGATGGAAGATTGAGAACCTCAGGGAATGGTTTGACTGGTTTCCCTCAGTGCCTTTCACAAACTTTTCTCTCCTGCTGCAAACTCTGCTAAAGCCATTAAATCAAGTACATATTATTATTTTCTGTTCTTTAATTCTTTTTGCCTTTTGTGTCTGGCATTGACATTAGGAACATGTAATTGCAAGACAGCATACACAGTTTGGATGGTTGCAGATTTAATGCAGAGGAACTTTCAGAGGAATACTTTAGTATTTCTTTGACATTTTAAGGTATCATTCAGCACTGAAGAAAGACAGAAAGGCAGTCAGGGGAAACTGTGCTTTTGAGTGCAAGGGAGAAGACTAGAATATGTTTAGGTGTTAGCTGGCACCAGCCTGCCTGCCTGAACAAAGTTAATCAACTCTCAGAGCTCCGCACTAACCTGCATGATTAGCCATGGAGAATGCGTTACAGAGGCAGATATCTGATTCAGTTCTGGGTCTATTTTTGTTTGTAGCATCACACCACATTTTTCAACAATCTCCAATAAACTGAACAAGACTAATGAAAAGATGTAGAAATCAATACGTTGATAAAAACTAAACTAAGCTAACAAGAAAAGCATACAGAAATCAAATAATAACTATCAAAATAAAGTATTTGTCGGCCTGTCCAGCTCGGGCAGCTTGGTTTCTGTTACCATGTTTGGAGTTGTGATCTGTACATAACCACAGTTAATTAGTGTAGATGATTTGCCACCAACACAGTTGTTTGAGAGGGTATGAGATTTGATTCTGATGTAGCACGTCACATATTATCACACTGGCTGTGAAGATGGAATATTTCTCAGATTTCTCTCTAATATTTCATTTATAAAAACCCGTGAAGTTGCTGGGGCCATACAAACACATCATTTCTCAATAGTATCATTGTTTATGAGCTAGTGTGTTGTAAGTGAAATGTCAAATGATCAGATTTCAGCCAGAGAGAGAACACAAAGGGAAATTAAAAGAAGATTACGAGGAGGCTAGGTTAAGCTTGAAATGTTTGTTCACAGTGGCCTCCGACCATACCTAAATGCAAAAGTGTTTATAGCTGTTCCGAATGGCCACATTTGAAGTCTGGGTGAATAGCCAGCCATCCAAGATGATGAGGGTTCACACTTTCAGACAGTCTCTTCTAACACAGTCCTTTGATCTAACATGGGTTCTCAGCCCCCCAACCCACAAAGCTGCCAAGGTGCTTGACCTCGTTCTTGTCCGAAACTGTGCCGAGTGCCTAACAGTCACACCTCTACATGTGTCAGACCACTATTTCATTCAGTTCACGGTATGCCTACAGGAACAGCCCATTGTTCCAACACTGTTTGTCTCACACCGCAGCAACCTCCGCAACCTGTCTCCCACTCACTCGGACTCAGTGGTAGCTTCCACTCTACCTTCCCTCAACACATTTTCCTCACTTGAGGTCAAGGATGCCACACAATCTCTGTGCTCTACACTAAGCTTGTACGTGGGTAGCCTGTGTCCTCTATTCACCAAGCCTTCTCGCCCGAACCAGTCCCACCCGTGGCTAACTGATACCATCCATGGGCTCCATACTGATCTCAGAGACGCTGAAAGTTAATGGTGAAAAACCAAAGACCCCGCCGACCTTAAGGGCTACCATCTGCTCCTTTCCTCCTTCTCAACAAGCATCAGTGCTGCCAAAACTGCATTCTATAAGAACAGAATTAGCAGTGCCACTGACTCAAGGAAATTATTTTCCTCTATTAAAGCGCTACTAAATCCTCCTCTACCTCCACCACCCACAAACTTGTCCGCTGATACCTTTGATGTCTTCTTCACAGGCAAAGTTGCGGCTATAACTAGCCAATTCTCTAAAACACTCAAACTCAACCAGTGTAGCAGTACTACATCTTTTCCTCTGCCCTCCCAGGTCAATGGTTCTTCACTCTCCTCGTTTACTCCTCTCACAGAGAGCGAAGTATCAGAACTCCTGACCCATAGCCGGTGTCTCTTCTATCATTTTTATCCAAAACTATTGAACAGGCAGTATTCAAACAGGTCTCAGAATTCCTCTCACGGAATGACCTCCTAGATCCATATCAGTCTGGTTTTAAGAGTGCCCACTCTACTGAAACGGCTGTTCTGTCTGTAACAGAAGCCCTAAGGTCCGCAAAAGCTGCAGCCCAATCTTCGTTTCTTATCCTGCTTGACCTATCAGCTGCCTTTGACACAGTCAACCACAGGATCCTGCTATCCGCTCTCTCAGCAATGGGCATCTCGAGTAAAGCACTCCTGTGGTTTGAATCCTACCTCTCGGGGCGTTCCTACAATGTTTTGTGGCAAGGACAATTATCCTCCTCCCACTGCCTCTCCGCAGGGGTGCCCCAAGGCTCAGTGCTAGGGCCCCTTCTCTTCTCAATTTACACCACCTCACTGGGGCTGATCATTTGCCCGCACAGCTTCTCTTACCACTGCTACGCAGACGATACGCAACTCTACCTATCCTTCCCACCAGACGACCCCACCGTCTCGGTGCGGATCACGGACTGTCTCTCGGACATATCTGCATTGATGAAGGCTTGCCACCTTCAACTAAACCTCTCTAAGACTGAACTCTTGGTCATTCCAGCCAAGCAATCTGTCCACCATAACATCAAACTACAAATTGACTCCTCTACCATCACTCCAACCAGGGTGGTGAGAACCTTTGGTGTCATGATTGATGACCAGCTGTCCTTTTCAGACCATGTTGCTACTGTCTCTCGGTCATGCCGCTTTGCTCTATACAGCATAAGGAAAATCAGGCCCTACCTCACTCAGTACGCCACCCAGCTTCTGGTACAGGCCATGGTTATCTCTCACCTCGACTATTGCAATGCCCTCCTAGCAGGTCTTCCAGCTTGTGTGGTGAAACCCTTACAAATGGTTCAGAACGCAGCAGCGTGTCTGGTTTTTGATCAGCCCAAAAGGACTCATGTCACTCCATTACTCAGTGACCTCCATTGGCTCCCCGTGGCCTCCAGAATCAAATTCAAGTCACTAATGCTTGCATACAGAGTGACTACTGGGTCTGCACCCATCTACCTCACACAACTGCCTCCCTAACTTCAAGAAGGTCTTGAAAACTCATCTCTTCCGAGAAAACTTCCTCTTATAACACCTCTAACATGCACTTCCTGTTCTCTTCTTCTTCTAGTCCCTTACAATTATCTTGTATTGATTGCACTTTTTTGTATTGATTGCACTTTTTTGTTAACTCTTACTTCCTTCCCTAGGTATTTACCCCATTGATGTGATATGTACTGTGAGATCTTACTAGTATTTATTGCTGCTCTTACTAGTATGTATTGTCAGTTGTAGATCTGTATTTGATGCTTGTATGTTGTTCCTCAAATGTAAGTTGCTTTGGATAAAAGCATCTGCCAAATGAGTAAATGTAAATGTAACACATCTGGTCGATTTGTGTGTGTTTCTGTGTGTTTGTGATTTTGGGGTTTCAGATCCTGTTTGATGAGCAAACTGATGCCTTAAAAAGTACAAATTAGAATTAAGCACACACAAACACAGTTACAGGACTCAAAAGTGCAAGCAGAACTCGAAGTGTCTATTAATGCCTCAGTCTGTCAGCTTCAGACTCTCAACACCTCTCTTCTTGAGTTTGGTCAAGCAAAGCCCCTATAATGGAACTCCATAACATCTCTACATGTTTCTCTGTCTTTCTCTACACCCTCTCTGTGACCCTCTCCACCCAGATCTCAGTGATCAGCTATTGGAGGTTGTTGGCCTTGAAGGGGCAATAGAGATGGGGCAGATCTACACTGGACTGAAGAGTGCAGGACGCAGACTGGCTCAGTGTGCCAACGTCACCATCAGGTCAGAACCTCCTGTCTCTCAGCTGCTTCCTCCATTTTTTTTCCCACATTCAGCCATCCTCCTCCCTCCTGCCACCTTCTGATCTTCATTCTCCATCCTTCTCTTCATCTGTCTTGTGTCACTCCCCTCCCCTCCTTTTATCTTCCGTCTGGTCAACCAACTGGAAACTGTACTTTCTACACAAAATGAATCCATCGCTGTTCCATACATGCATGATCAAAAATGTATTCCTTTAGAGTGTTTTGTACATTTGAAGGCTAAAATCCCTGCAGTATCCAAACAATAACGTGCCTGTACCTAATAAATTATATATTTCAACGACATGCTTTACTAAGTGAGCCACTGGAGCCAAGGACTGACTCACAATCACAAGATGAAAAATGATCTGTCTGTAGTGTTGGGGCTTGAGTGTTTTTGGATTTGGTTCCTAGTTTGCTAGATATCTATACTTACAAGGCTCTGATGCTAATGAATTTCTTATGCTGTGTATTAGTAAAGAGCGTTCAGGTTGAAGGTATCTCACTTTTAGCTCATGTTGTCTGCTGCTGTCAACTGTGGTAGATATTATCTAGCACCAATTAGTAATATATGTAAGTAAAGCACAAATTACGTTTTACACGTCTGCATGGCTGCAATGGCATGGGTTATGTAACTTTTATAATTTTCCCATATCCATGAGAGTCCACACAGACTGTTTACATCTGTGCAGACAGACAAACACACGTGAACACGTCGGTCTTTGCAGACACCCGGTGTTGTATCAACTGATGCACATGCACAGTCCCTTTTGAACCATATGCAGCTTGGTCAAAGATAGTTTTTCAGCCACGCCACTCTGCAACAGCACCCTTTCATTGCAAGTGGAGCAGACTGTTTAGTCTCTTCGGTGAAATGATCTCACTGAGCACATCAGAGTCAGTCCTTCTTGTCCATAACTTAAAATAAACAACTTAATAGTTGTGTTTTGGGACTTCCAGAATTTGGAGCAAATTTTAGTGAGTTATTTTAGTGAGTCACATGTGTTATGTTGCGACACGTATTGAACATTATTTAGTTTATTATTATTATATTATTATTGAGTTTTAGTTATTTACTATATATAACTTTTAGTTACTAAAACATTTTGAAAGCTGACCTAAATAAATAAGGAAATATAAAGGGCGGCTTTGATAACCGTATTTGATACTGTACTTTTAATGTACTATAAAGTTCCATCAAACACATCTAAGTGTGCAGACACATGTTTTTTTTTATTCAAAGTGGTTTTAGTTCAGATGTTTTTTTTGCTCTTGCAACATCTGCAGTGAGCCAGTTACTGTACCAAATAAGTGAGATTTACGAGTTGTTCTCTCACTTGTTCAGCAAACGGCCCCTAATATTTTCCTAGACCAGAGTTAAAAGAGCATTCATCACACTCATTCTCCCATACTGAGTTTCTCTAGCCCGGAGAGGCTTGCATGAAATTCTTAAACCAACTTTGAGTGTGTGTCTGTGTACGTGTGTATGTGCGTGTGTGTGTATACAGAGGGTCTGTGAGTTTAAAGAGTGGGGGCCTGTCTGGGAATGGGTCTCATGGGAACAAAGGGTGCAGTGTTTGACCCTGTCCTGGGACAGTGTGAACAGGCATGAGAGGTGTGTGTGATCTGACCTTCACAACCTCCAACCCCACCCTGTCCTCTCTCTCTCTCTCTCTCTCTCTCTTTCTCTCTCTCTCTGTCTTTCTCTCTGCCCCCTCCCCCCATCTTCCTTATCCTTCTGCTCTCTCTTCACAGGACGTCCCGTCGGCTGCCCATGCAGATAGATGGAGAGCCCTGGATGCAGCCCCCCTGCACAGTAAGAGTTAAATCAGAATCACTGCCCCCATGTTGCAAAATTGTTTTAAGAAAATGATTCTCATTTTGCAGAATGCCCCTTTAAACCCAAGAGAACCCTGTTTTTGTCACAGAGACAACCATTTGTTAGGATTTCTGTATTGTAAAACCACGTGAATAACTTTCATCTCAGTACTCTGTTTTTACCGGCAAGATTGATTGGGAGTCACTGGTCAGATTCATTTAACCAGTAATTGGGGGAAAGGAAACTGACCTGTTTATCATACTGTACTTTTGAAATTGTCTTTGTACATATGAGCAACTCAAAATCCAGAACAATCACAAGAGTCAGTCAGAAAATCAAATGAATTGTCAAGAAATAATTTTGTATCCAGTGTTTTGAGTTGACAATCAATATTTCACTTTCACTTTTATCACACATCTTTCTTTGAGTGGCCCTTACTATGTGTTAGGACCAAACACAAAGCAAAAAAAACACAAAGGGCTGTATTATTGCTTCAGGTAAGATGATGTAGTACAATCCAGGAAATCCAGTTTTAGAAATTGATGCATGACTATGAAGCCTAATCAGACACCAAAACACTGCAGAATGCTTTATAATGCTGTGAGGAAATATTTTTCAGCTCTGGAAGGGTATCACAGCAGCAATCATTTTATCCTCTATCGTGATGACAACCAGGTAAACAGGAGAAATGTCTGTTCTGATTCAAAAGTAATTTACCGGGAGGGTGCACTTGCACGTATTTCATTGGCCACAGTAATGCGTTGCTGGATGATATCACATTGTGTTGAGGCAAAAGTCGAGCCAGATTAAACTTTTGGCTGGACGATCCTGCGTTTTCTGCCAGAGCGTGGCACCTCTGCTCTGCCATTGCAGTGCTAATGTTGGACTGAACACAGGCTCATCATAGTGAAGTGGTTTGTGTGCCCCTGAAGCCTTGGGAGCAGTGTTTCCCAGGGCCGAAGCTCCTGGTGCGTTGTCCCAAAGCAAATGGCTAAGACCACATTTAAACCACTGTGCTGTGTTTTTGGGGTCTGATAAGCCTTTGAATGCATTAATCTGTCTCCAACTGGGCTGCCTGGATCGTATGTCATTGTCTCAGGAACTTAAACAACTTGCCCCCACCAACGCAGACCCCTGTGTTGTTTTAATGCAGGGCTGAGCTAAGAGTGATTTGAAGACACTAAGGATTGCCATCTTCAGAAAGAAATGACCTTGCTCACATGAGGGTAACCAGGGCCCCATCCTGGAGCGAGGTCTGAGCTTGCAGGCAAGAACCTCATGGCCTCAGTCTCAGCCAAAAAAAAAGTAACAAAGGGCCACCATTTTGTGGGTTCATCTGTTGTTAGGGTCAGGGGTCTGGTGTATTGTTAATCTAGTGGCAGGCAAAGTCTCAGGACTTGGAAGACAGACACCGGCTGCAAAAGTGGGCTCTTGACTGGTGAATTGATGCCATCTGAATATAGTCAGGCTCACGTGTAAGCACAACACCAGGCTAGACCCACGTCACTGTGTCAGTCTGGATGAGGATTTAGGGTCTTCTAAGCGTCCCCTGGATGCCAGTGGACAGCCACTTATTCTTGACAGCTGATAACGTCAGCTGTATGCCTGACCAAGATGAGTGTTACTCAGCTTTTGTCCTATCTTGGTTCATTTCCCTGCTCTTTTGTCCGTCTTCTCCTCTGCACACCAGTCATGCCATCAGATATCACAGACTGGCTCATGCTATTCAGCTATTATCTATCATACCCACAGTTTTCAACCATTTTTTCATTTTATCATAGTGGACCTTGATGTGGGTGAAGATAGAAAGCTTTTTGTTGTGTTATGTGAGTTATTTGCAGGCCGCATGAGTGACGATTTGTAAGTTGTGAAGAGCCAGGAAGTGAAGACCGTCACCTTTTAAATTGTCTGAAAGATATGAGATCAGATGCTGTTCCAACCTATATTCTCTTATGTCCTTCTCTATCTGAATCTTGCAGATCAGGATCACACAAGAACCAGGTCCCCATTTTACTGGGCCGCTCAGAAGGACACCGTTCTTTTCTTCAAAAAACGCAACCGGAGCCGCGACTAGGACACGTGCATGCACAAACAAAGTCAAAAACCACACACATAAAC